CTTTACCAATGAGCCACACCTTTAGCACAGAAACCTCTCTTGCATATGGGATTGGGAGTAGTAACTGTCTTCACTTGAAGCATGGGAAATAAGCCAACGCTTTTGCGGGAAATCCTCTCCTGAGAGAGCTAGAGATGAATTTTTAGTCTGGTTTTATGGAAAAAAGTTACCACAAAGCAGCAGAACTTACTTTTTCCATTGTTCCAGCTCTATGGGAGAGAAAGGAAGGGGATAGTTGGTGTGGACACCACTCACCAAGCCTAATGTTGTCCAAGAATCCATGTCAAGTAATAGTCCCTCACTGACTTTCAGTGTGAATGACCATTTCATGTCTCCTTCACAAAACAAAAAGTTCCCACTCACACAAAGCCAATGTACCTAGCCCAGAACGCCACCACTGAAAGCCCTTACACCTCCTGGGTCTCTGAAAGGGCCAGCTCAGGTAGGAACCACAGTAACTCCACTCCAGGGAAGTTCAAAGAGGACATCCCATGAGCTGGTAGGAAACAGGGGCTCCAAGTAAGTTCTCAGGAAAAATAACTCTGATATATTGAGCCAGCTTGCCTCACATACTGTGAATACATCATGTATGGTCTCTGTAGAAACCTACAGCCATGACTTATGAGATTAAATATGCATGAGCACACAGCATCTCCCATTTGCATCAGTCCTCTGTGCCGTTTCAGAAGATGTCAGTTGTAAAGACTATGTGGTCAAGTTTAACAGGGTACATTTCCATGGCTGGGAATGCAAGAGAGATAAGAGTTGGATGAAAGACAACTGACCTTCTATAAATTAATATGAACAGAGTGCTGGGGAAAAGAGAAAGGAGAAACCAAAGCATCCTGCGTATTCCAGACTAAGAATAAAGGAAAATACGTCTACTTGCACTTCTGCAGGCAAGACTGTTCAGCATATGGAAAGTCAGAGGAAGAAAGCATGAAGCTTTTCAAAACTGATTTGTAGCTAATGGCTCTCTGACAACTCTCAGGTACGACCGCAGAACAGGCACCTTCTTTTGACACCCAATCTGGAAAACAACCTCAATGTGGGGTCTTTCTCAGGCAGCCCCAGACTATCAGAGCCAAGAGACAGCTCAGAGCCAACAGGCTGTACATTGTTCCAGTTTAACTCTGCACTTGATTATATTTATGGTTCTTCTGCATCTATATTTCAAGCTTTTGAGATTCTTGTCTTCCCCCAGGGTAGCAAATTCAGAGAGATCAATGTTGCAGCTCTGTATTTTATAATCCAAACCACATTGGGTTTTTTTTTCCCACTGAGCTGCGAGGCTCAGGTAGTTCACCAAACACCTAAAAAAACCCAGAGAAGCCAGAAATGCCAGTAGAAAGTATGGAAGCAACACACAAGTTCAGAAACATCAGTGCACTCAGATGCCCCAGGGCAAACCCTGACAGTGTCCCAGGAAGCATCCTCAGTGCACAGACACAGTTGACAGAGCTCATGCAAACATTCAAAGACAGCACAGAGCAGAGCTCATTGTTTCTGCAGGGCTTCTCAAATGCCTTGCACACAACCTCCTTCACCCAGGTTTTTAAGACCTGATGTTAAGCTTGGTATCTTTAGAGGATCTTTCCATCTCACCAGACACCAAACGCATCACCTCAAGGCACTTTCCTGGATAGTGGCAGAAGAAGAAAGAAAAGCAGAAAAAGCCCTTTGCAGTGTTTGAATTAAATACACAAAAGAACAATTGTTTGTAGCCTCTCCATCTCTGCCACTGTCCCTCTGTATCTTAGAAAGGAGCCAGTGCTGTGACACTGAGGAGAGCACTCAGTGCTCACTGTGTACTACCAGCTCTAACAGCCCTCAGGCTGCCATGCACTTACCTCTCTTGGTAAAGCTGGGTTATCAGTACTGCCATGAATTAACACCAGTGATCCATTTAGAGGCCAGAGGATGAGTGATCCTTTAGCAAGACAGAAGAGTGAGGATGGGGTAAAGCTCCATCACCCTCCTATGGCCCAGGCCTAATTAATCCCAGGAAAGGTAATGAAATCCAGCCTCTACAGCCATCTACCACCAGATTCTTTGGCTGCAGGCATCCTCAGAGTTGACGTCAGTGCCTGCTGTGGTCAGGATTTTAGTGATGTGGACACTTGGCTCTAAAATAGAACTAAACCACTTTAGAAAAAAAGAATATTTTCTCTTGGAGTTTTTCCCTGCCAGAGGCTGAATCTCATGATTGCCTGTGCTGCTGCTCAGCCCCACAGCCAGCACACACACTGCAGCTCTCACAGAGGGTCCCACAGGCAAGTGAACAGGATTTGGGGATGCAGACTTTGCTCACCACTTAGAGGAACAGGAGGCAGCAAAAGGCTGGCCAGGCCTTTGGAGAGATTTGCAGGAGGAAGAGCAGGTACAGGCCATGAATAGGCACAGTGGTAGCTCTTATGCAGGACACAGAGCAAGATGATGATGGTAGGGATGACATTAAAGATGATGCCACAAGCCCTACCACAACTATCCACCTAGCACAGGCCCAGTAAACAGCTCTGTTTTGTAATTGTGCCCTGCTCTCACCTTCCAGGCAGGAATTGCTCAGTGCTATGATTGCTATGGCAGCCTTGTGCCTGTGGAAAGCTCCCTGCACTGTCCTGAGAGGCAGAAGAGCAGTAGCATAGCTGTACAGCACCAACTTTCCCAAGACTTCTCCCCTTCTCCTTACACACTTTTTTGCCTGAGAAGTTCAAAAATTAGTTTTAGTCCTGGAAAGATCAAACCCATTTTGGTGCAGATCCTGCCCACGCTTTGCTGCATATCTATCACAGTGACAGATGGCTATAGCTGAACAAGGCACAAAGAAGCTCCAGCACACAAGTGCTGCATTCAGCTGGAAGGCTGCATCAGACCCCAGTGCTGACTGACTCTTTCATACCACAACACACATAGTGACTGTGTTTGCTGAGACACCTCAGCGCAAAGCACCCATGGGGAAGACAGGCCTTGTCAGGTCTTGTCCCTCATTTTGTTGTTGAAGTGATAAAAATCACCAGAGAACAACTCCACACCACAGTGCAAGTCTAAATCCAGCATCGAGAGATTCACAACTGGCAGCTAAACAGTCATGTCACTGGAGGCCTTTGGGTTTGTTTCTCAACCCCAGTGAGGTGCTGGGAGAAACAAGAGGGAAATACAGAAATGGGTGTGGGGAAGAACTTCAAATTAAACAGCCCAACCTATAAACTTTATCCTAAGAATTTCCTTTGTCAATTCATGCTTCCCTCTAGCAAACAGATACAAGGAGACTTCAGTATCTTTGATATGGATACTAAATTAAGGAATCAGTCTAATACTAAAACCCACTCAAACACAGAAAAGTGAAATTCAAACATTTATCTCTACATCCAGGGCCAAGCCTTCAGCCAAGGAAAAGCAGTGCTGCTTCACTCCCTACAGAGCTGTATTACAGCACAGCATCTGGAACTCAGCCCTTGACCTCAAGCAGTGACTGGGCCCTCAAAGACCCCGCACATGTGCAAAAAACCAAGTTAAAACTGGGGTTTAAATACTATTCAAGGAAAGAATTTACTAAGTGGGAGAGATGACACATACACTATCAGTGATTGAAAGAAGGGAAAGCTCAGCTGAAGACATCCATGAGCAAAGCAGAGCCCTGATGTGTAATAACAGCAGAGCCAGGGTTGCTCAGCAGAGAGCAGAGACTTTGCATGGAAGTCCTGTGCAGGGGTTGTGCTCAAACCACCCTCTCAATGGAGGGTGTTCATGGGGCAAGCATAAGAGAAACTTCAGAAATGGCTTTTTGGTTTGTTTCAATAACTAACACTTCTACATTCCCCTGACAAGACGGAGCATTGTCTGCTGACCCTCATTTCTGCAGTATCATTATCACGGATGATAATTGGTCGTAGCATGCTAAAGCTAGTTTTGCCCACTGTTACCCCCTACACTGTCCAACAGGTACGAAGCTTTACTGCTTCTGCCAAACAATGTACACTTTTGGAACTAAAACATACAGTGAAGAAATCAGGCATGGGGGCAACAGCCTGAATTATTATGGGACAAGAGGCTGACAGACCTCAAGCAGCAGCCAGTGACATTCTCAGACAGAAAGTGTAACATATTGGATGTACAACTGATTGACAGGATATACATCATCCTGATTCTTTTCCCCAGAAGCTAAGGGAAAGCCTTTTATAACAAAGAAAGACAAAAAGCATTACATACAAAACCTGCACCTTGAACATTTGCTGAATTATATCTGATACAAAGCACCTAGCAATTAAAGAAGCCAGAAAAATGATTCCTAAGCAAAACACTCCTCAAATGCTTTCAAAGTGTTAATTATACTGTATAGCGGCAGTCTGTATAGCTTACATATAAACTGGATATGGATCATCAGACAGGAAAGCCTGGGTATGTATGTCTAGGAAAGTCATGATTCAAATCCCAGTGCTTCTGATGATTCTGTGCAAACAAAGGCACTAATTTTAGGGAATTGGCATAGGACAAACCACCTTACATGCCTCGTGCTTACTCCTGCATTATCACAGGCCAAAAGCCATGGCTACAGGACAATGTTTAATAAGGTCCCTGGTGAGTTTCTCATCTGCCTAAGTATTACCAGCCCTTCACATTGGTGAATAAGGTCCTCATATTTAATAAGTGTTTAATAAGGTCCTCGGTGAATTTCTCATCTGCCTAAGTATTACCAGCTCTTCACATGTTAGTATCTGTACAGGTACACATACACAAACAAGCAAGGCAGGAGGCAGCAACTCTTTATCAGCCCTGAACACCAGAGGATGCATCTGTCTCCCACCCCCTCTACAACCTGTTTTGTGCATTCCTGAGGAAAGAGAGACCATTTACTCACCCCATTCCACTTGTTTTGATCCATGCTCACGATCAATCTATGTACAGCTGGGAATTTCACATTCTACTGAACACTGGCACCACTAGCCCTTTGCTTTTAATCACCTGGGTCAGCTCATGCCCCTACCATATCAAGTCCTTACCTTCTTTTGAGCCAGTGGTGACAGCAGCTGTAGTGGTCCCTGATGCCCGTCCCACTGGGCTGGAGTGCTTCCCAGCTCTGCCTGGGATTTTAAGTCCACTTGGCTTCAGCATGTTTGCCGTCTCCTGTATCTCAGGCTCTTATTGTCAGTGTCTCAAAGGGCTTTCCTGGTATCACAATTCAGGCTTCTCGATGACGGACCTCTTCTTCCATTGTTACAGACCTGGGAGAGGACACAAACCAGACAGACAATAGGTGGGAGAGCACCAAACAGGATCCCATAAAGCAGTACCCAGCACCCTCCTCATAGCCACAGCAGAGTCAAGATCTTCCATTTCTTCTCCTGTAAAGCAAGGGTGATCATTTCCATCTCCCATCCTAATGTTACATTCCTCAATCTCACAGTCTCACTTTAATCCTGGAGTCCTGGACCAATGCTGAAACCTCCCAGAGTCCCCAAACAATTTAAATTCAGTTTGGGATTTATTGACTAGTTTTAAGTTCTAAAATCTCAGTTCATGCATCAACCAAGACCTAGTTCTGCTGTCAGAGCCCTTCCCAAGGGCGCACTAACAACCCCAGCTTGAACCTTTGGTACAAGGCCCCTGTTTTCACAAGACTTTGGGGCAGCCTCTCCAAACTGACAGAAGGAGGAAGGAGAGGCCAGTGCCTAAGATGGGGCTTTCAGCTCTTTTCTTTAAGGACAAATCCAAAACCTTGTTATAGAAAAAGGGCATCTGACCCCATGGATTTCCAGTAAGACTGAAAAAAAATCACTTTCTGGAACCCGAGCATGACTCTATCAGTTATTCATCAGTGAAGTCACATAACCCTTCCCTATGCCATTCCCTTCCTGGTAGGCAAGTGGAATAAAACCTCCAAATTCCTTGCAAGGATGTTGCATGAACAAACACACAACTCCTCAAGCAAAAAGTTCTATGACAAGAAAAGAAAAATAAAGGAAATGACTATTTTGCTTAAAAAAAAAAAAAATCCCATTCCTAATGGATAAAGAAAAACCAATAACACACTGAGACGATCAGCCAAAAGGAAGCTCAGGCTGGCTGAGCAGGCTGGGATGAGGAGGGAAGAAGGTGGCAGCACAGTAAGCCAGAGAATGCCAACCCCACGGTAAAAGGAACTGCAAGGACAGCAAGCCAAGGAGCAGTCAGAAGCTGGGGGACACCCAGACCTGCTGCCTGGGCTGAGGAAGGAGGCAGCACTCCTGAGAATTAATGTAGCAGAGATTTACAGATGGCAGGAGGAGGGAATTGCAATAGTGGGGACAGGAAGTGATTAAGGCATGAGTAAGGATTTCAACACAGGCTGGGTCAGAGCAAGGGGAGGGCTGGCAGAGCTCCAGGGAAATCTGCGAGCAGACACGGAGGACAAAAAAACCACAAGAAGAATTCCAAAACTCTATCGCTGAAGGCTCACAAATATCTGAGACACCAAAGAGTGGTCCAGCAGTTACAGTCAGTCGTCCCACACCAGCTTAGACAAACACAGAAAGGAGGGATCAGCAAAGACAGCCCAAGTGAAAACCCAAGGGATCAAGCTCCACTCATCCCCATGTTCCCCCCAAAGCGTGTTCAACACCTCAGGTGACTTCAGACACCTGCAGACAGCACCAAATGGAAGTATTTTAACTTACACAGAAGTCAAGGCTGTTGGTGAGAAGTGGGAAGCTCAGATCACATCACCAGCAGCAGGAACAAGATCAAGCAGTTTGTGTTAAGAAAACTGCCTTCCTGCACTAGAGACTGCAAAAGCGAGATGCTGTCACAGAGTTGGACAGGAGGCTGCAGATCCCAGCTCTATTTAGCATAAAATAGGGAGACAAGTAACAGACTCTGGAGGTGAGAAACATTGATCAGTGTATCAATATTCCTCCTATCTGTCAAGCCATCAGACATCTCCCTCCCACCCACTCCATCTCATATGACACATTTTGCCTGGGGCTAGCTTTGATTGTACACAGCAATTTGATTTCTAGCACTTCTGCTGGCAGCTGATGTGCTCTATCAAGAGATCTCGCCCCATCTCCATCGCTTTCAACCTGAAGGTTTGCTTCTTCACAATATGCCTTTACTCCTAGGTTTGCACATCTCCTCACCCAGCCCTACCTTTTGGTTACAAGGTTTGATGCTGTACTTGTGATTAAGCAAGCTGGGGATGCTGGCTGAATCCACTGCCAGGATTCTGGATGAGCAAAGGATAAAAGGACACAGGGGAAGGATAAAACAGAAGAATCTGAGCAGGGAAAGAGTGCCAGATGAATAAAAACATATTACAGTTTGTCAGGCCTCTGTCAGAGGGATTCTCTGGATCTCCATCTTTGCAGCCAGAACCACATACGCTTTAGGGACAGTGAATTTAGTTTGCTCCTCTGTGAAGAGCCAGGGAACTTCAGTTCATTCTCCCTCCACTACTCATTATCCCTGAGGATCAGCTGTCCCCACAGGTCACAGGATATTGTGATATTCTGCTCCTTCTCAGGATGCCTGGATTTTATTTTTACACAGGCAGAGAAACAAGAGGAAGTGCACTCCCACTGCAGAGAGGTTTCTATCATAAATCTTTATGCAAACACATTAGCTTTCAACATCCTAATACTGAAGCCCAAATGAACTCCACAGGCTGCTAATTACACTACCCTCTGAGCAGATAGCTGTTTTTATCCTGAAATACAATCACCATGGCTGGTTCATGGCCACAGTCACTGGGGTGTCCATGCCACACAGAGCCAAAAACTACTCAAATGCTACCTTCCATGACAGCCAGATGCCCTCAGCCCCACACCACTCACTGCACGTTGGTTCACAGGGGAGTCTGAGGGGTTGTCTGAAGTGTCATTCTCATCTCCACAAGCTGCAGACTGACCAAAGCCAGGAAACATGGACAACTGCTTTAGCATGTACCTGCACCCTCACTATCACACAGGGAGATGAGGATGAACGTAGGAATTCTTACTATAAATCCAGATGGTTAGAAATGCATTGATGCGACTGATGTCTGGGACACTTTTAAAGAAGCCTTTGCCTGCTGCTAGGGACAGACACTCCTTCCCTGTCACTAATTTCTCCCCCACTTCAACATAAACACATGAGCTGAGTTTTAGGAAGCTCTAAATGCCGAGCACAGAGCTCTTCTGAATTACACCATTAGGTCATCTTCACCCAGAGCCATCCAAGTCACACATCAGCTCCCAACCAAGTGATGCAGCTTTTGTGCTGCAGAAACAGCCTTGGCCTGGGACATAGGCCAGTATCTCCATTAGAGATAACTTGGCCTGAGCTCCTGTACTGTGGCCTCAGTATCCCAACAGCCTCTGTTAACAGACAAAGCCTTTCTCAAAAACCTGCTTCCAGCAGTAGATGCATGATACAGACAAATATGATGCCACAAGTGGCATAAAAACCACACGAGCCATTTTCTTTCCTACTCCCTGTATTACCTGCATAAGCTGTAAGCTTTGACCCCCTGCATAACTTCATGGAAATGTGGCTTTCCCCAGACACAGCATAAAAAATACCCCATCTGCCCTTGTGGATAGTGGGGCCATCAGTTCTGCTTATTTTTGTCTTCTTCCTCTTCCAAGATGACACAGATTACAAGGATTTTGCTGGATCTCTGCTAGATTCTTCCTGCAGTCTTTTCATACCGAGATGAATGGTTCTGTCTGTTCCCACAACTAAGAAAAGCATCCCAGGAATGCACAATGTGAAAGCCTGCTTCAAATGACCAAAATCTCTTCTCCATCTTTCCATCAGAAAAGGGGACTCAGCTGGATCTGAGTCACCTGGGCTCAGATTCAAAAAGGGAACAGTTTTTCAGTACAAATATATACTGTACTTAAATACCAAAAAAAATAACTTCCAAAAAATACCTTTCACCACAAGAAATATATCTGGATATTCAAGTATCTACAAGGCTGGCCGCATCAGAACAGCACAGGTTAAAACCAGGAACAACTGGAGGTGCTGAGGCTTCAATCTGTTCAGACGTGGTAGAAGAATAACATGGGTTGGAAGCAAAATCCTTTGTTAGCCTTAGCAATGCAGCTTATCTGCAAGTTTCTCTGCTTCATCTATCCCTCGTACCCTCAACAAGGCACACGAGTACTTGTGTGCCATGTGGAATACCATCCCATTCAAAATGGATGTGAGCAACAAAGCAGACCCCCAGGACAAAGCCCCCTAAGGATCTCTTCACCTCAACATATTGAGAGAAGCAACTGCAAGACACAGGAGCAGCTTTCCAGACACCAGACTGAGCTGGCCCCAATCCCATCCTGTGCTTGGTGCTTCCTTCTGGATGGGTCTGGATGTAAGAAATGTTTACCCAACACAAAACCCTAGGCAAGGCACAGGGAATTCACTCCGAGTGCAGATCCAAGTGGCATTTAGACCCACTGTATCTGAGCACTGGTGTAACAGTCGGGTATATGCAATATTTTGTGGGGAAATAACTCCTTATTTCTTAAGCATAGAATTTAAAAGTAAGTACCAAAATTTAGGTTTTTCATTTTCTAGCTTTGGAAATCCACATGTAAGAACTTAAACGTGAAGTCTGCAGTCAGACATGCACGTACCTTTTCAGGACAAGGGCCTATGAAAAAAAGGTAAAGAAAACTATCTAGTCATCAGACTGAAGGAAACCAAGGTTATCATGTTGTATGGAAGGTTAATGATAAACAGAGACAATGCAGAGAAGTAGTAAAACACTTTACAACAATCTTGACTCATGCAAATAATCAGTGACTTTAAAGACAACAGCTGGGATAGGGAAAGGTTTGCACAATAAAGTCTTCCTGGTTTCACTTACTCCTATCTAAGATAGTTTTTGAAAAGCAATTCGTGCCATTATTTAAAACACTATGACAGGTCTCCTCATGTTCATGCTAAGGATTGGGAACACCAGCACTTGGGATGCAGCCCTATGGCAGCACATCTGCAAGCAGAGCTCCAGCCACTTCCAGGGCTATCAGAAGATGTGGTGCTGTGGCTGAAATCTGCACAGACTCTTGCATTAGTAAAAAAGACACAGCTTAGGAAGACCAAGAATCCCTTCTGCAGCTGCTCTAACAATGTAATAACAGCAACTCCATATGGAGCAATAGAAAGGGAATTATACGCCTGCAAGGTAAATCCCCAGCCTCTACAGGAAGGAGACAATCCCACATGCTGCCACACAACACATACCTGGGGAAGGTCCAACAGA